CTTTCAAGCTCAGTATCATCAATGCCATACAAGGCAGGATCTTTCGCAGCAACGGTAATCGCTTTTTCCAGCTCATCTACCTTCCTATCAGTAAGGACAGCTTCAATAGCCAAGAAAAGAACTCTACTTTGAATGATTCACTTACCTATTTTCTTGGATTTTTAATCATCTTAATAAACTGAGTTTTGATATTACACTAGCAGAAAAAACACCTTACAAGATGAGAAGCTAAGTGATTCAGCATCTATCATCCTATATTGACCAGCACAAATCATATTCTACACGAGCTAAATTTATTAAATCATACATCATATAAAACTTATAAGTATCGATAGAAGAGTAAACAGGGGTACCTACCTGCCACTCGATGCTTCCACAGTTAGCAAGAAGCTCTTTGGTGGCATGAACTTGATCCCCCATGCCAGGAGAGATACGCTCCCATTTGTGGAATGCTGATTGCAACTTATCAATCTAACAAAACATCCAATATATACTCAGTGTCCTTAAAATCTTACAGGACCAACATGTCTGACCAAATCCAAAGAACAAACAACTTACAGAATCTTGGATCTCTTCTTTAACAATGTAGAATGGATCTTGCGCTGAAGACATCCCCACAAAATCCCTTAGCTAAATTAAAACAATTACAATCTAAGTTCTTATTTTTAAAAGGGAAGAATAATTAATTAACACGAGTTAAAAAAAAAAAAAAGACAGAGAATTTCGAATTTCACATCATTAATTTTGCAAATTCTACAGCTGCACAATTAGGGCTTCTAAGTCACACTGATCAATAAGATTTCCAAAAAAAATCGACTAAATTCTGTCTAGTCTATGGTAATAAAGTTTAGAGCTTTATGAATCTCTCTACTTTTTAAGATCGATACAAGAAAAAAAACAAAAACTTGCTGTAGAAAAAATGACGACATGGATTGGTGCGAAAGCGCAATCGATATAGAGGGAAAAAATGAAGTACCGGGAGAAAGGCGATGCGGTGAAGATGGAGGAAGAAGAGCAGACGGCGGTGAAGTAAACGAACGAGTTCCGGCGTGAGATTTGTCTCTCTCACACAGCAAAACGCATCACCGGCGGTTCTTGGCTTCGAGTACCTTAAACTTTTGGGCCTATTCGAGAAGTTTTCAAAGCCCAATAACTGACCATATTGCCTTTTTATTTGTTTCACACATTTAGTCTAAATGGTGGTGACCAAAATGAATTAGTGGAAATAGTTAGTTTACCTTTTTCCTTAAGGAATAGTTCTTTGATTAATTTTAAAAATATTTCTAATCGATGTAAATGTTTGAATTAATTTCCAAAGAAATGTACAGCGTCCAGATAGATTCTCTTTACATAGTTTGACGAATATTTGCAAAAGTAATTGGTGTTTATCTTGCTGAGGATTTACATCCACATAATTTAGTTGCTTCAAACAAAAGAGAACTATTAATTATAATTGTTGGAAACTAATATATTTATGTAAGCTCAAAAAGTGATTATATTTTCTCTATATTTATATTTTACCATATTTTATGTAAGAAGACATTTTTGGATTACTATAAACATTTTAGCATACTGTCGAATAAGTTATTTTTTCCAATTCTTTTGCTGAATTGTATGTATATTATTAGCGGACATGCATTTGTCAACCTTACGGGTGGAACGGATCCGGATATCCTGAAAATTTGAAGTATCCGGATCCAGATTTTTCGGATCTGTGATTTTAGTATCCGGATTTGGATTTGTGTCTTTCGGATAACCGAGTTTCAGATATCTGTCTAGATATTGTGATGCCCACATGTAGGTCTGGGCATTCGGATATTCGGTTCGGTTCCGGATAGGAACCATTCAGTTCCGGATATATCGGATAAATCATTCTTATACTTAATAGGTACTTATGAGATATCGGTTTGATTTCAGTTTGGTTCTAATTCGGTTTCGGTTCTGTTCCGGATACCCATTTAATATATAAATCAAATATATATATACAGAATATATTAGTTAATATGTTAATTTAAATAGTTTAGTGTTTACACGCTTACATATTAGTCAATCCAACAAGAGTTCAAATCAATAAAATATTAATTTTATAAATATTAATAATATTTTAATATAGAAATACCATATATATTCATAATATAACAGAATAAATAAAACATAATATGGTCTGGTGGTAAAATGTACTTACTTTTTGTATCTAACTTGGGTTCAAGTGGGCTTGATGACATTTTATCTTATTTTTAAAAAATTTAACTTGTTTTTTCGGATATTCGGGCACCCGTTCGGTTATGGGTTTGGGTTTTTTGGTATAGAAATATATGAAGTATTTAGATATTTAAGAATTTTGGTCCGGTTTCGGTTTCGGGTATTTCGGTTCGGTTTCGGTTCGATTTTTTGGTTCCGGTTTTTTTGCCCAAGCTTACCAACGGGTATCCAGATTCGGTTTAAAAATAATTAAAAATTCTAAAATTAACATAAACTTAATTATGCATAACTTATGAATATATATATATATATATGAAATATAATATTATTAATATAAAAGTAGAATATTATAAAACTTATTTTATGTATAAATATTGATATATAAGATATAATTAATAATTAATAATAAAGTAAAAAATTAATATATTTTATAAATACGGATCCGAATCCGCATATCTAGACCTAAAATTAAGATATCTAGATCTGGATTCGGTTTGCACGGATCCAAGATTTTACTATTTGGATTTGAGTCTAGACAGCCCCGGATATTATAATTTCGGAGCAGATCCGGAACGGATCTCGAATTGAATCCGGATCCTAGATAAAAATCCCAGCCCTAGTCAACCCCCACACGCTTATTTTTCAAAAAAGTTTTAGGAAGGTGATGGACACTTCCATCTTAGGACTTGGTGGAAAGATGCGATTGGAAAGATTTTTCTGGTCATAAAGAACCTTAAAGAGCTTATTAAACAAACAAAAAAACCGTTAAAAGGTTAAACCGATGGCGTGACTTAGACATAAAGAAATGATACGACACCAAATCTTAAAAAATAATCATTATTTTAAGTTGGTGAAATTTTATATTTGAAGTTTGAAAATGTTTTATCTTAAAACAACTTCAAATTTAATTTTAAAAGTTTTGCATTTTATGCAAACGTCCTTATTGTTAATAAATTTCCCTTAAACTTAGTTTTATATAGCAATATAAAATACATTACAAAGATTATTAACACTTTTAATTGATAAAATATTACATTCGAATTGAAAATTACAGACAAAAATAAATCATAAAATTGAAATAAAATATAGATTTAACATTAAAATCTACTATAATTAAAAGCTCTTATTAAGAGTCTATGAGTTATGCCACATCAGCCTAAATAATCATCCAATCATGGTGATCATTTCTACCACGTCAGGTAGCTATTGTCGAAATGATAAAAGGCTTATTCCTCCTATTGGGTTGTGGCCCAAATCGACTCACTCTTGAAGATTCGACCAACCGCTTCTGCCTCTCCACTTCGTCTTCTCCATTACATCTTTATGAAATATCTGTTATAGGTACCCATATTATCATTAAATTGTGTTCTTTAAGCTCCTCTTTATTAATTTGTTTTGTATGCGTTGTTTATCCTTATTTAAAAAACGCTCACCTAGATTTAATTCAATCAAAAACGAAAACCTCTACTGAAGAAGCTGAAGCTACAGCGATGAAACCCAATGGATAAGATACCATCGGAAAGCCTCCCGTCGCCACCAGAAAGCCTCCCATCGCCAACATCACGACGGCTCTGAGACTGATAGGAAGAAGAAAAGTTACCATCCTCACACCGCTTAACAAATTCAACGACTTGAATTGTAATTGCTTCTCTCGCTCTTTTGTTTGTTTTTTATATTGTTGTTCAGACACTTATAATCGTTGTCTCTTTATAGGAGTTTCAAAGAGTTTCCTCAAGCATGCTATATGCCCAAGCTGTGGAGGTCCTCCCGTTTGTGAAGATCCTTACTTTGATGAGCAAAATCTTCACATCGAAAATCACAACTTTGATGTTTCAATTTCTAAATCTGATATTTTCATTTTTTAACTGGGGTGATGAATCATTTTTGGTTTACATGGAATGAAGATTTCTTGAATGAGATGGCGGCCATGATGGATCTCTGCCAAGTGTAAGACTCTGCTGAAGTTTTTCCCTTTTGTTTATTATTAGACATGATTGATTGTTTGATATTTGAGATGTTGATTTTGGCATGAGAATAATTCAGGGGACAGTTTTGAACAGGGACAAGATCTGTTTAATGAGATGTTTCAAGGAGACACCGCAGCATTCCCATCCTCATCATCAACGTCTTGGCTCGTGTCTCCATCTATTTGTTCTGCAATTTAATTAAGTTATGGCTCAGGTTAAAAATTATCTTTGTTTCTTTTTAATTGAGAACTTTAGTTTTTACTGTCCGATGTAACATTTTTTTTTCCTGCTGCAATCTTAGTCTTAAGGAGGAGGTAGACCTGCCCTTTTTGTAAGAGGGGCCCCAGAACAAATAAAGATCAAAGTTCCAACTTCGGCAGGTTAGTGTGATCATTGGCCATTGAGACTATCAAGAACATGCAGAAAAATTCGAGTAGTCTAGCATCTTGGTTTAGATTTATATTGTGTTGTTTAGGTTAGTTTTTGCATGGAACATGACTCCAACCTACTGCTTGATAGTTGATCAGTTCATTGTTGTGATCTGTTTTTATGATTTGTTGAAACTGTTTACTTATTGTTTCCACACGACATGGACGTAACTGTGTACTTATTTTGTGGTATGAGACAGCGTCAACCTTTAAGAACCTCTTGGTGACCACAATTAATCCTATATTGTTTGGAGATTGATCTAGCTAACTGTGGTTGTGAGGAAGAATTTGAGATGTTTTTTCTATGCTTTGTTCTCTTTCATTCCTATGCCAAGTTGGTTCATTTTTTTGGTAACTGACGTTGTTGCTTCTCTTTCTGGTGGTTACTCAGAGGAGACTGCCGATGGTTGCAGGGGCTGCAGTAGCTTTAGCTGCAATGGCTGGGAGATATGGTATACTCGCTTGACAAGCTTTCAAGGCCATGCCCATCGTTCCTAGAATGCACAGGTTTATGAAGGTGGTTTCCTAGCTGCCATGACATGCTGAGAAACTGCTCTCATTCTTGAAGTTATGTCTGTCCTTAATCCTCCTCCTTCATATTTTTCTCTTTCTATTGCTTCTCAAATTGAAAAATGGTCTCCTGGAACATTGAAATGGTCACTTTTCTTTCTCAGTGTATCTTTTTTCTTTCTTTTGCGGGTTCTTCCCATGCCAACGGTCTTGACAAAATGTAAGCCCATGTAAAATATAGAATTTGAGTTTTTTAATCTGTTCTTAATAAGTATATTGAGCTGATGTCTATATATATGTGTTTGATCATGCAGTGGTATTGAAGCTAAGCAGCCTAACTCTGATGTCCGTAAGTGTGCTAGAGTGTAGCTTATCAAGAATGGCAAAAGATTGATGCTTTTTCCCCAACGATGGTTGCTTGAACTACATTGAGGAAAATGTTAGTCTTAGCCCTTTCTCAGCTAATCCTTAGGCTGATTTGATTAGTTACTGCCAAAATGTTGAATCATCCGTTGTTAATGTTTTGTTTGAGGACGAGGTGTTGATTTCTGGAATTGGGCATAAAGGTCATGATGTGGGAGATATTCCAGGAGTTAAGTTCAAGGTCTTCAAGGTCTCTGGTGTTTCACTTTGGGTCCTCTTGAAGGAGAAGAAGGAGAAATCAAGATCTTAATTTATTAAAGCTTTTGAAATTGATTTTGACGTCATAAGCGCCTTTTAGTAGTGCAGTTTCAAAGAATTCGAATTTTCTCTTCTATTCAAATTTAAGGTTTTCTGAACTGTGTTTAAATTTTTTTCTCAATGAGTCTTTTAGTTTAGTTTCATCTTATTTATTGATTGATTTATGGGGGTTTTGCAAAATCAACCCAAAAAATTCAAGTCAAACACAAAACCAACCTCTTTTTTTTTTGTCATTACTATTCACTCTTAAAAAAACCTAAACTCTCCTCATGTTTCTAACTATTTACCAAATTTCCATTATTATTAAATATGATATTATTTTGGAAAATTATTAAAAACCTATTACACCCTAAACATTTTTCCTTATTTACCACAATGCCATTGTCATCAATATTTGCAACCACCAAAAACCACCATTGATGAGCTCTTTAAGCTTGTGTTTATGAATTTTCAACCACTTATTTCACTTTCTAAACAAACAATACTTCATTTCCTCTCATTTCCTCTCTATTTTCATCTAAACAATCCTCATAACTCTCATTTTCATAAACACAAACTTNGTCATCAATATTTGCAACCACCAAAAACCACCATTGATGAGCTCTTTAAGCTTGTGTTTATGAATTTTCAACCACTTATTTCACTTTCTAAACAAACAATACTTCATTTCCTCTCATTTCCTCTCTATTTTCATCTAAACAATCCTCATAACTCTCATTTTCATAAACACAAACTTCATAGTTTCGATTTTATTCACAATTGAATCGTAAAGGTTGCTTCTTTTGCTCATATTTGGATTCTGGACGGTGGAAAAGCTTGGAAACAAGCTTTAAACTGGTGTCAAGGTAATTATTTACATGCTTTTCGTCATATCTCTGATCTGTATCGCGAAAGTAGACTGTATTATATGTCTACACTTACGTGTAGACTTACGATGCAGTCTACTTGTCAACGCACAGGTTACTTTTGCAATTGACCAAAATAATTTTTTTTTGTAATGTAGACCTACAAGTACGTCAACGTATTTACCTTTGAAACCAAAAACAAAAAAATTGGTAGACTTACTAAGAAATCTACATAAAAGAGGTTAGATTTGCATTTGACCAAAATTTTGACTTACCATAGTAGACTTTCTTGGAAGTCTACACTTTGTAGACTGCTAGGGAAGTCTACGGAATGTCATTTTTGCATTTGACCAAAACTTTGACTTCGTTGAATAGGTTTCTTTTGTATTTGACGAAAATATTTAGAAACTGACTAAAACTTACTTTACGTGTAGACTTCATATGCAGTCTACAAATATTAGGAAAAAAAAGTAGACTACATATGAAGTCTACTATTTTATGTTGGTCAATTGCAAAACTAACCTGTCGGGTTATAGTGTAGACTTTTACTGCAGTCTACAGTTACGTAGACATTTAGTTTTGTCTACTAGTAGAAAGTCAACTTTGGTCAATTGCAAAACTAACCTCTTTCAAACAAATTTAAAAATGTAGACTACATAGTAAGTCTACTTCTAAAAGTCAAACTCTGAACGAATTCTGGTCAATTGCAAAACTAACCTTTTTAAAAATGTAGACTAAAAAATCAGTCTACTCGTATAAAATCACATCTTTTTTTCAAATACAGAAAGTAACCCGTGAATTTGGCAATTGCAAAAACCAACCTAAACGTAGACCTAATTTGCAGTCTACAAAATGTAAACTGAATAAAACGTCTACAGATTTGTAGACTGAATATGTAGTCTACCTAGAAAAATCTATCAAAAGTGGATTTGTGTATTATTCATTAAGTTTTTTTAATTTTTTTTTTATGAAAGTGTGTGTTAGTTAATCATAAGGGTCTTGAATGTTTTTGAGAAGATAATATGTTATAATTAGGAAGTTATCAAATGTTTTTGTTTGTCTATGTTATTAGCTAATAATCGTAGACGTACTGGTAAGTCTACGGTATAATTTTAAATCATTTAACACTGAAAATCAAATTCCCATTTTTAAATTAAGAAATAAAAATATATGTTTGTTACTCTTAACAAAAGACAAAATGATTTATGAAAAGGTATGTTAGTTAATCTAAATAGGATGTATTGTTTGAAAAAAAAACTATTCGACTTGCCAATTTGTATTGTTTGGATGATGTAAACATTCTTAGGACAAGTGTATATGGTTATCAAGTTTTGGTAAGTTAAGCTGTAACACATTATTACCGCCACATTATTACCGCCACAATGACATCTTCCTCGAATGTATTTTAATTGTGTCTTTATCATTCTGCCATCTCTACTCTTTGCTTTGCGTTTCACAACCAGTCTCAGAATAATGACTAATTCCACATGGAAAAAATTACTTTGCAGGATTCATATCCTAGTTTTAAATAAAGCAAATGTCAGTAACAGAGAAAAAAAACAGAACAAAAGTAAAACTATAACATAACAAGAACATAGAGTGCGGTTGTTATTTGTCCTAGTAGTGATGATAAGTCTTCTTCCTCTTCTTGATATATGACAATTACAAGCATCCACAGTCAAAGAAGTCATGCAACCAAACTTCCTCTTCACTTCTCTCCACACACTTATCTTCTTCTCTTCCTTATTCTTCTTTGAGCAATGAACAACACATTCAAGATTCTCAATCTCTCTGTAATCAGATTCAATGTCAAGCCTCAGCAACTTCTTATTCATATCCTCAATGTCATCATCACCATCATCTTTCTCCTCTACACTTTTCATATCTCTAGCCACCTTCTCCTGAATCTGCTTCTGAGAATAGAACAAAACCTGCACAACAATCCTCAACGGAAGCTTCTCATTCTTTGAAGCATGTTCACAAGCCTCTGGTGAAAGCTTCTTATAGTCCAAGAATTCTACAAACATTTCCACATCAGAGTATCTCAGAACATCGCAAGAAGCAGCAACCGTTATTTCTCCTAACGCCTTAAACATTTCCACACTTAAACCAGCGTACCTCGCTGCAGCATCCAAAGAAAGATACAAACTTTAAGGAATTTATTTTTTCAGATCTGTTGTTTCGGAAAAGTGAATTCGGAGAGAGAGAAAGAGAACCTGAGAGGAGATTGACAGAGAGGAGACTGTTGGGTTCGGATTCGGCTGCAGAGGAGCGAGAGGCGTTCTCAGGAGGAGACTAAATAGTATCTCTTCCGTCTACAAGCATCAGACAAGTATACGGACAAGCATATATCAAAAAGTAGAACTATAGACATATATATAAGACACGACTCTCATTTGGTTTCTCCCATGCTTCATATCTGCAGAGAGAACAAATAGTACATTAGTTGGGACATTGACAGTAAACAAAACCCTTAATCAAACTTGAAACTGAAAGCATTAGCCTCTCATCAGTCCCACCAACAGAGCATAAACCTGTCACAAAAATAGAGTGAAAATTTTAAGACATTTGTTTATTCAACCAAGAATAAGAAACAACAAAGTCACTCTTGCTCTAAGCAAAAGACACCAGGGATGCCTTTATAATTTCAACGCCAACTCAACATGATTAAATGGCACAACTTTCGGCTACCTCACAACAACAAAAAAATACATTTTAAAAAACAGTAAATGAACAAACGCAAACCTGTAAACTGGGAGTGAGCTTAGAAAATGTCAAGGAGGCAACAGTGGCTAGGTCTATATTGCCGGAGAACAGGCACCACGGATGCCTTTGTAAGCTCAGAGGCTACCTAAACTCCTATCTCCACCAATTCATATCAAGTTCCATATTGACATCTTCTTCTCCTGCAACATCACATAAATTACACCTTTGACATATGTGTAAAACTACAAAGGAAGAGAGTTGAGACCAGTGTCAAAGGAAGGCAATGCTATTGGATTAGGAAAACTGAACCCCTCTAGCTTGATAATTATAAGGATACATAAGAACTTACCATGCCAACAAGTTCTTCATTCATCCATTCTCGACATCTTTCCATCTAGTCAAATAACACCCACTTGTTAGTGGGTTTGTCATAAATCTGAAAACACACACACAAACACCGAATCTTCCAAATCATAAAGGTTTCCTTTTTGCATAAATATTCAAAACCCCAAAAGCAGATGCATCAAAACAGAAAAAAAAAATTCACAACACTTTGGAAACGTTAATACAAATCTCAGCATAAACAAGTGAAAACTCATAAAAATAAGAGAAACCAAACCCAGAAATAAAAAACTAGCTTGAATATGAACAGAGGACGAGGCTGAGGAAATATTACCGCTGTTTACTCGCTGCTGTCCTTCCGGATGAAGCCTCCAACGTCGGCGGCTTCTTCTCCATCCTCCTCCACCAAGAACAAAAACAAATCAAAGGCTCGAGATGTTTAACGAGATCCAGTGCGTGTTGGATGTATTTCTCACCCCTAGCTGCGATTCAACTTTTCCTAAACTATTGATTCGAGTCTGGAAGACCATCGCACCTGGCCGACAGGCCCAACACACACCGATTCTCCATCCAAGCAACACACGAACAAGATCCGACACCATAGGCACCGGATTTCTCCGTAACCCAGATCTGAAACTAAACTAAAAACGGTGACAATGCTATTGTTTTTTTTGTCGCCCTTTTTCTTAATAAAAAGAGTATTTATATGTCAAGTAATTTTTCTGGTTAGGTTAAAACTCCTTGGTTTAATTTTGGTTTGGTTAAAATTATTTTGGTTAGAACTTTAGGTTAGGTAGACTTTCAAAGAAGTCTACTATAATATTTTTCTTTATTGTTTAAATAGTTTATAAGATATAATCTAAAATTTTTCTTTTCATTATATATTTAGTAGACTTAGTATATATATATATTTTTTGATAAAATTTTAATTCACATTTTAATTCATAAATAAATAAATTTAATTTCAAAATAATTTTTTTTGTAACCACCAATTATAGTAGACTAAAAAAGACGTCTACTATTGAAGTAGACTTTAGTGTAACTATTGGCGCCAATAAGAAAAAATAGGCTCCAAAATTCATTTTTGTTTCCCGCTTAGTTAATTTTAATTTTAAAATATTTTTTTTGATAAACACCAATTAATGTAGACTGAAATAGACGTCTACATATAANAAAAAAATCTTAGTCATTGTACCAAATATCATATATACAAAATATAAACTACTCAACATTAAATATGCAATTTTGAATCATTAAAACAAAATAATTCTAAATCTAGAATCTAACCCTAAGAATCTAACTCTAAAAGACATAACATGTTAGAACCTTTGGTTGCTAAACCATTAACATTGTCTACCACATAGTTCCCAAACCAATATACATTCTTTTAAATTGTTCAATTATATGAAAATTTAATTTATATACCTCATACTAACCTTTAAATTGATGATTTATTAAAAAAATTACCAAAAACATTTTTTCTACATTTTTAAAATTAAATTATTTGATTAAATTAAAATGTAGACTAAATAATAAGTCTACATTAGTCTACACAGTAGACGTTAATGTAAGTCTACCTAATTGTAGACTTCTTTCTTAAAGTGTAGACCTACGAAGGACATAATCGTAAAATATATTCCACGTTTTTTGTTTGTTCATAAGGGTTAAATAGTAATTTTAACACCCATTTAGGTTGGGTTTGCAATTGATTGAATATGGGGTACACCTTTAGGGTTAAAATGAATATTTGGGTTGGTTTTGGCAATTCTCCCTTGATTTATTTACTAATCAATAATCATCTTATTCTCAATATGTTGATTTTTAATCAATAATGATCAATTAAAACATTTTTCATTTGTATTAGTGTATTGTTTTTTTAAATTAAATTCAAGATAAAGAAAATTGGTGGTTAATCAGCCTGAAAAGAATGCTTAGTAGGAACGGTAGACAGTTTTAAAACGCATTACAAAACATTGTTTTAAAATAGATAATTTTTGGTCTGTTTTTGGGATTTTTCCATGCTTTAGATTTTTTTTTAAAAAATAGTACAGACGTGACATACTTAATTAAATATAAATTCTCTAATTAGTTTTATTACTGAACTTTTAACCTAAAATCTTTCCATGCAAAACAAATTGGAGTTTTTTTACAAAACATATGAGTTGAGCGATACATTAGAAATTTAAGATGGTGATACAAAAATATGAGAAAAACTCCTAAAAAAGTAATCAAAATAATAACTCTGGTATTGAATCAATATAAATGTGAAAATAAAGTATAGAATCAGTTTTACAGCTATTAGTTTTTAAATAATGATCTTTTCAAAATTTATACACTTTAAATTTTCTACCTACCTAGGCCTCAGAATGAACTCCGGCGTTGAGTTCCTAAGGCGAGCTCGAGCAGAATGGGTTCCTCCGGCGCGAGTTTAGGCTAATCTCTTAGGTAACACATCAATAGTAGTTCGTTTACTTTTCCACGCAGCTTAATCGTGACTTCATTTACGTTGCCATGTCTGTAATTACACAAAGATTAATGTCAACTTTGAAGTTTGTTCTACATAGGAGCAGCAGTCATGAAGATATCATAGTCAATGAAGGAATCAACTCATATAGATTTTATATTTGCCAAATATAATTTTGAAATAAACTGTAAGTGAAAACATGCAAGCTTAATGATTTAACGTAAAATTATAAATCAGTTGAGATTAATAAAATATTTTCATATTAAGTTAAATATGTAAGATAAAAAATTTGGATAATAGCTAATGTTTAACAAAAAATATTCATTTCCCATTTGCTCATTATCCCATACATATTTTAATTATTAAAAACAATAAATTGTGAGCTTCATTCATACTTAATTCAATTTACAAAAACTATATTCAGTTTACTATTTATATATTTTGGTAAAATACTATTTATATTTTATAACAAAATATATTAAGTTTAATATATATATATATATATATTATATTTAATATATATATTATGTTAATCATAGTTGTATAACCCGGGCGTAGCCCGGGTAAAATCTCTAGTTTTCCATAACACTTTCACATATGATCCTCTAATGCATTTTGAATTGATAAATATATTCTTTAAAGTTTAATTTTAGTTTACGAGATAAAACAGTTGATTAAATTTATTAGTTTATTTTACATTTTTCATAAAACAAAAAGAAATTTTACTATTAATATGATAACTTTAAAAGATAACTAGAATTTTTGAAAGGCAGGCAAGGACTGAAATATATTATGAAAGCGTGATCTTATTCATATATGAAGGTGTCTATATATACAACATAAAAATATCCTATCCTAGATACGTAAAAGTTACGTATATATATAATCCCATAAAGATAGGGAAATTATATTAAAATATTTATCTCTTTGCTCCCCTTCAAGTTGGCAAATAGGTAGTGCGAATTCCCCACTTGAATAGCAAATACTGAAATATTAGTGCAGGAAGAGTTTTAGTAAAAAAATCTGCAGGTTGTTCCTTTGTAGATATGTGTTGCAGTGATAGAAGTTTGTCTTTAACTGCATCTCGAGTCGTATGACAATTATTTTCAACATGTTTAGTATGCTCATGGAAGACATAATTTGTAGCTATATGAATAGGTGACTTACTGTCACAATACATCCGCATGGGGACAGAATGAGAGAAGCCAAGCATACCGAGCAGCCGCTTGAGCCATTTCAATTCGCAAGTTATATCAGCCATGGCCCTATATTCAGCTTCAGCCAAGGATCGAGAGACTGTCCTTTGTTTATTTGTCTTCCAAGATACAAGAGAATTGCCAAGGAAAATAACATATGCGTTAAGCGAACGTCGAGTGGTAGGACATGAAGAGCAATTTGCATCACAGTTGGCTGTAATCTGCATATTACACATTGACTGCAACATAACTCCTTGATCAGCCGTTCCTTTGAGATAGCGAACCACACGTAGAGCCCCTGACCAATGTTCCCCAAGTGGCTTTTGCATAAACTGAGACAAGAGATGAATAATGTAAGCTAAGTCTGGCCGTGTGAAGGTCATGTAAA